TAAACAGTTGCTCCTTCAGCACACTGGATCCTCCTAAAGGCACGTCGGGTCAGCTAAAGGTCTGCAGCATCTGAGCTGGGAGATCCCTCCAAAGAGGAGGGATTTGACTGTAAGTGGGAGGTTTTAACCCCAGGCACCATTTATTTGCATGTTTCTGCCTGAAACGAGCATTTTGGGAACACATTTAACAAGCACAATATATTCCATGCGCTCGCTGGAATCAACGGCCCACATGAGCTTCCTCAGATCTGCAGTCAGCAGGGAGCTGTCTGGCCCGGGATTTTACACATTCTTGCATCTAAGGGAGACATTCTGATGCCAAATCCAACACTCAGCTGACAGGCACCGTGTGTGCATTTGAACACACCTTCACAGCATCTGTGTTGGAAGCGGGGAGCGAATCCCGTGGCAGAGCTGTGCTGGATCTCTGGGATCAGACAATGACCTGCCTGTTGGGAACTGCACCCCAAAGTTCAGCACGGGGCAGGAGGCAAGTGCACTGAGCCCTTGAAATAAGAATCACCAGGGAACATGGAATCCAGGCTGCCACAGGTTTTCCTGAGATGAGGCCCAAGGCCTAATCTCAGATGCTGAGACCTGGCCCGGGAAATCCTGCTCTCTGTTCCTGCTGCTCAGGAAATTCAGGGCACGTTCCTGCTCCTTGCAAGGGGGTCAGCACGTGAAACAAAGTGAGTGCACCAGTGAAAAAAGATTTGTGGCAATTGTGGCTTTTTGGTGCTGTGCAGAGGTGTGCTGTGCAGAACAGCCCCTGCCAGACATGGCACACGTCTGTTCTCCTTTGTTCTCTGCGAGCCCCCCAGGTACAGCTGCAGCATCAGGAGCTGGTGGCTGTGATGGCTGAGTTTGGAGCTCAGTTTTTAAGGCAGACATTGTTCAGCACTTAATTGGCTCTGGCACTTCTGAGTGTGCTTTCTTTGGTGTCCTCACATCACGTCTGATGCAAGCACTGTCCTGTATTTCATGGAGCTCATGTGCATGGGATGGTGATCCCATTGGAAGGCTGCAGGTCAGTCTGGAACTCCAGCAAGTGTGTCAGGTAGTTTAGTTGTGTATTTTGTGGTAGAAGATAGAATCACAGAATCACCTTATCAGATTAAGTCACTTTTAATGTCTGAAATGCACTGAAGTCCCCTCAGACAGAGCACTCCCTGTATTTAGGAACCAGACTTTTCCCAGAGCCGAGTAAGAAAGAGTTTGACATTATTTCTTGAAAAAGCCAGCAGCTATTGAAAATTGTCTCTTACAGTACCTGCCATTTTCCTTTGTTTGAATTAAGGTTGGTTTGTAATTATTACAAGGGGATAAAAACTGTTCCCAGGCTGGAAGTCAGTATGCCAGGTTACAGCCCAGAGCAGCCTTTTGGCAATAAATTTTATGCAAACCTGAAAAAACAAGTTTACAATGGAAACACTGACTGATTTTGAGCTGTACCAGAACCAGTAAGTTACTGCTTCACTGGGCTGGGCTGACAAGGTGGTCAGACTGGAACACACCTTTGCTGGTGACGGTTGCTGAAGTTTTGGCAGCATGAACTGGGTCTGGCTGAAGGAAATGATTCCTAGAGAGTGTGGGGGAGAGCCCTGGGGCCCAGGATCCCTTGGGAAGGTGCCCATGTTTGGGGGCACACCCAGGTGTGGCCCTGGGGTTTGGGTGCAGGCAGGTGGTGCAGCAGGTGCGGTCTCTGTGAGGAGCCTGGTCCATTAAATATTAATTTCAGGTGTCAGAATTCCGTCTCCTTGCACTGAGAGCTGTTGTTTGTGCAGGATTTGGGGTGTCCATGCTCAGGTTTGGGTTTTTTAACAAATCTGTAGTTGCCAGTGCTGTTCTCTTACCCAGAGGACAGATGAGAGATTCCCCAGATACATACTTTAAATGAAAAGTCTAATGATTAATGTGTCAGTCATGGGGTTTGTCCTTGTTTTTTTCTCTCAGGAGAAGTTGCTACATTTCCTAAAGTTGTTTCATTGTGAATAATTATTCTGGGTGTGATACTGAGGAAACTGAAAGATGTAAATTTGTAAATAATTTCTAAATCATTTTAGAAGTGGGATGGTTTGTTTTAACAGACCAGCATCTGTTGATACACACAGTTTGATGCCTTCTGAATTTTATTTTTAAGGTTTCTATCAGGGCAGTCTGGGTACACTTCAGGGAAATTTTTTAGGTCCAGAAGACCCTCAAAGATGAGTAACAGTTCCTGTTCTCAAAACCACTGTGTATTTATGCACCTCTGCAGGAATCACATGTGCAGACCTGGTGGTGTGAACCTGATGGGTGGGTACCTGGTAGGGATGAATGTGGAGGGAAGGAACAAGGACAGGGGATTCTGGAAAACTTGTGATGTCTCTTACAGAGTTTTCTCAACCTAAGTTGGTAAATAATTAATAATACCTGACCACTTCCTTCATCAGTGGGTTGGTGTTGTTTGATTACAAAACTTCTGGCTTAAAACTGGTCAACTGAACCCCAAGGATTCTGTGAACTGCTGAGCAAACACCAACCAGTTAAGGCTGTGCCCTGGTCCCAGTGTGCCCAGCGAGCTGGATGAGAGCTCCAGAGCTCAGCTGTGAGCAGGGCACAGCTCTGGTTGGCCTCAACCTCCATTTAAGGCTGTGCACTGGTTCCCAGTGTGCCCAGTGAGCTGGATGAGAGCTCCAGAGCTCAGCTGTGAGCAGGGCACAGCTCTGGTTGGCCTCAACCTCCCAACACCCTCTGGAAGCCTTGTACTCTGTGGCTCCATCCAGCAGCACCACTCCCTGCTGTGCCAGGCAGACGAGAGGGCATTCCTGCCTTGTATTGCCTTTGTGTGCTTATTAAAAAGGAATCAGCAGATCTGCTGAGTGCCTGGGTAATGGGACCCAGATGTGGGCACCACCACTCGCTCTGCTTTACAAATCTGCAGCTTTGGGGATTTCATCAGCGTTGCTTATTATTTACAGAACGTAACTTGAGACAGTAGAACAAATTTTTAGATTAAAAAAATCAAGTGGTGTGGAATGTTTTTAGCTGTGCAGACCAAACAGAGCAGTTTGCCAAGGGGGTGATGGACTAAATCAAAGCAGTTTAGGCTCGAACCAGTGGCACTGGGTTGGAAAGCTGCCGACCTTATCACTGAGATGGGAGTGATCTGTTATCACCAGGATGAATGTTTGAGCATGGAGGGACAGCAAGCACTGTACTTGTACTCTGAAGTGCTTCTTCCATTTAAAAACAAAAACCAAACCCTAAAACCAACCACAGCTCAGAATTGCCAAACCTTCCAAAACCCACTGTGGTGCCCAGTACCTTTGTAGTACTGGTACTTCCTCTCTGACCTGCTTTAAGCCAGGTATTAGAAACCAGTGTTCACAGTTGTTCTAGTTCCTATGGGATTAAAAGGCCCTATTTTATTCCCACTTTTAGGGTAGTCTTGCTTGCAGTGCTTCAGATCCCTCCTCTCGAGGTACCACAGAACATAGAGAAGGTGGCATAGGTCAGTGTTTATCTGAAGGATGGTTCATGTAAAACCCACTGCACAGTGCTGCTCCTCACTCCCACGGGGCTGCTTATCCAACCTTCCTGAAAGCAGGATGGGAAATGTCTCAGCAAAATGTTACTGACTGGCCAATAGTTAATTAAAACCCACCTTTATGCTGCAGACACTCCTTAGACTTGTCAGTAGAAGCTGTGGGTGGCATAGAGAGGTTTAACAGCTGATGGAGGCTTCTTGGATCAGTGATATTTTGCCCTTTTCCTGCTTTGAGAAGTTAAGAAGTTGGACAAGCAGCAAGATGTGAATTACACTGGTTGGAATTCTTTAATTTCTTTGGAACTTTGCCTCAACATTTTCCAATTCATGGAGGCAAACACATACTTTGGTTTACTGATTTGTAAGAGTTTTAATAGGTAAAAACAGGCAGGTGTTCGTTCATTTCTGGTGTAAGTTCAGAAAGACAACAGTGCTGTACCTGTACAGGTGAATCCTGCTCATATCCAAGAAACCCAAGGGGCAGGAGAGGTGTATCTAAGAAGTCTAAGGAGCAGAAGGCAAATGCTCTGTGTGCTGATGCTGGGCAGCTTCAAAAGCAAAGGTGATGGTCTGTGGGACTTTGCCCAGGTCTCTGGATCAGAAAGGCTGGAGGCAGTTCCTCGTGCAGGGTCTTTACAAAGAGTCAGGATAGGAAGCAGAGAGCACTAATCCAAAATGGTGCATTTGGCTGGGAAATCAGTAACAGCAGTAGCCTGGAAGAGGGATGAAATAGCAGGGAGCAGCCCCAGAGTGATGCTGCTGGGAAGGGACAGGGCTCGGCAGCCTGTAACACAATTCTTCAGGGGCAGGGCGTTCCAGGAGCTTGAAGGAATTCAGAGTATTATTTTTTAACAAAATACTGCTCAGGGAGGAACCAAGCCTGCAGTGCTGTGGCCAATACTGACCTCTGATGTCTGTCAGCCCTCAAGTGTGTGCCTTTATTATTGCCATTTTTTAATAGACACTCAGAAAGGTAAAGTGTGTTAAACCCTGCTATGGAGATGGTAATTAATGAGGATTTTTTCTTTTGTCTTAATTTAACTGCACTTTCCTGTTTCCACGACCCTTCAGTTTGCAGTCTACTGGCCCTGTCCATCAGTGTGAGCTCTCTCTAGGTTGATATACTTCTATTTTCTGTAGAGCACTGAGAAGAAACAGTCAAATCAGTAAAGCTCTGCTGATAAATAGATCCCAAGTCTGCAGACAGTAGACTCAGTTTAGGTTGCTTCTTCCTGTTAATTTGGCCACTGCCCTTTAGCCACTGCAGACACTTCTTGGAGATGAAGAACCACCCAGTGCCACGTCTTCCAGAGCAGGTCTTACAGGATCCATATGCTTTGTCTGCGAAGACCTTGGATTTTTGAAGGCTTTGTCACACCTCGTATTTCAAAATAAGCAGAGCTGTGTGTGCTGACAGGTGTCAGTGGGAGGCAAAGGGCTGCCCCAGGTCACCTCTGTGTCTCTCGTGCAGGACGCAGGCGGAGCGAGTGCGGAAGCCGCGGTGCTGCCGGGGGCCCCAGGGGCTCCTGCCCCGCTACCTGGAGAGCCAAGCAGAGGGACAGGAGCAGCTCTTCAAGCTGACAGACAACATCCAGGATGAGTTGTGAGTACTGACTGACACAGCCATTTAAACTGCTCCGTTTGTACTGTCGTGCCTGTGGGGAAGAGGGGCTAAAACTGCTTCGCGCACGCAGACACACGTTCAGATTTGGGTCTCTCACCACACGGAGGTCATTGAGGGGCTGGAGTGTTCCCAGAGAAGGGAACAGAGCTGGGAAGGATCTGGAGCTGGGGGGACTCAGCCTGGAGAAAAGGAGGCTCAGGGGGACCTTCTTGCTCTCTGCAACTCCCTGACAGGAGGGGGGAGCCAGGGGGGGTCGGGCTCTGCTCCCAGGGAATGAGGGACAGGAGGAAAGGAAATGGCCTCAAGCTGTGCCAGGGGAGGTTTAGATTGGATATTGGGAAAATTTCTTCATGGAAATGGTTGTTAAGCACTAGGGCAGTGGTGGAGACCCTATCCCTGGAGGGACTTAAAAGAAGTAGATGTGGCACTTGGGAACATGGATTAGTGTGGCCTTGGCAGTGCTGGGGGAACAGCTGGACTCAATGATCTTAGAGGGCTTTTCCAACCTTCATGATTCCATGGACAGGAGAGGTCAGTTTGTTGGATGGGGGTCTGAAGGCAGCATTCATCCCTTACTGGTCTCCACCACAGTTACTGCTCAGCTGGGTCAGTGGGGAGTGTCAGACACTGTTCTGTCTCCCATCAAGGTTTGTGCCAAGGCAAAGGGGCAGAACTGCTGATGGTGGAGCTGCAGAGGGAGGTGCCAGTTCAGCAGGGTCCCTCAGTGTCCCCAGTGTCCCTGGGCAGGTCTGAAGCCATGGGACACTCCAGGTTCTGTGAGGAAGAGTTTGCAGTCTGCCACTTTCTTGTGGCCCTGTGAGTTTACACTTGGTTTATCCTGTTCCCATCCCATTCCAGGGTCTTTGTGCCTGGCTGGCTCTCAGGCAGGGGGAATGGAAAGAGCAATTTGTGACCAACAAAGATCCACAGCAGAGCAGTGGGCTTTGTCATCGAGTCCCACTGTTCATTCACTGTGACTCTTGCCATCAGGAACATCATTCAGCAGGAACACAGTGTTTCTTGTCATGGAAAATAAGTACAAAATTATGCCTCTGACTTTTATCCTAGTATCATAATCAGAAACACATTTAAAGACCTGATTATTTGCATATTTTCCTTCAGAGTTAAATCCATAAAAGGGGGTTTAATACCTTGCTCTACTGTTCTAACTAAATGTTTCCACATTTTTTTCCAGTTAGGCTCGCTGTTTCACTTCTGGAAAATATTGTGTAATTACTTCCTGATGTTGTTAAAAACCCCACAAATTCTCCAGAGATCTGGTTGCTTCTACTTTGTTCTACTGGATCATGTTTCATTTAATTTTTCATTTTATTAATTTGAGATATTTTTAATAGTGTAGATAGGTTTAAAAAATTAAAAAGTTGTATCTTTCAGTAGTATCTGAAAAGTTTAAAAATACCTGTTTTGAGAACTAGACACTGAGAAGAAAGTAACAGTTGGCAAGAGCAGAGGGGTAATGATGCATGACTCAAACTCAGAACAAAATGTAGAGCTTGAACTACAAATTAGCTAATGTTTCTGGGCTTCTCCATTAAATCACTGACCTCTGTTTCCATTCCTCACAATATATACATGACACCAGTAAAAGTCTTGTTGGGAAAGTAGATACATCATCTGTTGTTCTTATGGAGCAAACACAACCCTGCAGTCCCACTGCCCAGGTGCTTCCCCTGGCCTCTGGAGGAGCTGCTGGTGCCCAGTTGCTCCCCGTGGATGTCCCCGTGTCCCCGGTGGCACCGTGACCCCGTCGGATCCGGGCTCTCTGGGAAACCCTGTGGTGTTTGATGTGCCTGGCCAGGCTGTTCCCCTGCAGCTGTAGTGCTGCTCCGGGTCTAAATTAAGTTTTCTGTGACACTTCATAAAAAATGTCACTCTCCATCCTACTTAACTAATTTCAAAGGCAGAACCTTCCCCTGAAGTGTTTGAACTCTGGTAGAAAACTGCGGGGCAGCTGCTGGTTTCCGGGCCTCTGTTAATGTTGTCTTTCACCTGGGCTCCTTTGAGCTGAAATTCCCTAGTTTTTTCCCAGTTTGTTTTACTTAAAGGAACACAGTTCATTTATCCTGTCCTGGAGCTTTGTCCAAGGGTAGAGCTGGCAGAGCTCTAACAGGCCCTTTGTAATTAGGCTGGTTGTCAGCACTGAGATGATGGTGTGGGCTGGAATTGGTGGGGGCACCTTTCTCAGTGTGAGGGGAGTGAGGAGGGAGAGGCAAGTTCAGTGCAGAGCAGTGTCTTTGAGAGGACTGGGAATACAAAATTGCTGGAGCTACCCTTTCATACCACAAAAAGAAACCATGACCTGACCTCTTGCCACATTTTTGGCTACTAACATTCCATTTATAGCTATGGGTTTATTTGGCTACAGCTCAGAGTGGTTTGTGCACAGTGTTACTTAAATGGCAGAGCCAGGGGTGGGTTTGGAGATGAGAAGCTTCTCTGCCACCAAAAACACTGAGTAGTGACAAATTCCCTGGGTTTCCAAGGCAGCAGAGTGTTTTGCAGGATGTCTGAGGACAGCAGCACTCAGGTTTGGATAAGCAGTGGTTCAGAAGGCAGGGATTGGGAACCTGCCTGACAGCAGGAGAATCCTCCTTTTACAGTGCTTCAACCCTGGGGCTGTTGGCAGAGCTTTATTACTCTATTTAGCACTCCATTATTCTATCCAGTTATTATTTCAAATTCAAGTTGCTGAATTTTTCAGCATTTAAAAACCCCACTAATGAGGCTCATTTCAGTAGTAAATCAGAAGTGGGGGAGAAGCATTTGTGTGTGCAACATCCATTGCACTTTTGCATCTCTTATGGTTATTTTTTTACACCCCAGCCTTTTCAGCCATCATAACTCTCAATATTCCTGACTCACTCTTCTCTCCCTCTTCCTATTCATCACTCAGCCTAATCTCCCTGGGGAAACCTGTTTGCTGCTTAACCTCTCACCCCGTGTTAAACAGCTAATTTCTCTTTTCTGCTACTGATCCCAGCAGCAGGTTCAACTTATTTTGTGTTTTGGAGGGGGACCAGGGAAGCACAGGAGGGTTACAGTGTGGACAAGGATAATGCTCCCATCATAAATGTCTGCATACTTTTCACGTAGCAGCTCTGGAACTGAAGTTGGTTGCAATTAAGCTTCAGCATTAGGACTTGCAAGGAAATTACTCTTCCTAAACCTTGTCAAAGGACATTTTTATGTGCCCCTGTAATGCCCAAAGCTGGCTGCCAGGCATTTAGCACTAATATTTGATTTACAGCATGATCTTTTTATAACTAGGGGAGAGGGTCCTTCGTCAGCTCCACTTTTAAACTGCCTAAATTAAACACAGATGAGTCGTACATGTTACACAGCTACATCTTCTGACACGCTCCTGGAGGTCACTCAAAACAGGTGAAGACGTGGGTTAGTTTGCTGGTTTTAGCTCCAAGCTAATAATTTTTGTTTTTTCCTTTGTTGCAGCTTCATAGCAGTGGAGAACATCGACAGCTACTGTGTGCTGATCTCCTCCAAGGCCGTGTACTTCCTCAAGAGCGGGGACTACACGGACCGCGATGCCATCTTCCTGGAGGTCAGGTATGATGACCTGTACCACTGCCTGGTGTCCAAGGACCACGGCAACGTCTACATCCAGCTCACCAAGAAGGCTGTGAACACGAGCAGTGGGGTGGCCATGCCAGGCCCCTCCCAGCAGAGACCTATGGTGAGCTCCTGGCACCTCCTTCCCTTCGTGTGCCCCAAGGGTTTGGCTCTGTCAGCACTGGAACAGCTGTGCTGAGGTTTCAGGGAGTGTGGAGTTGAAAGAATCAGAATATCCTGAGCTGGAAGGGACCCACCAGGATCATCCAGTCCAACTCCTGGCCCTGCCCAGGACACCCCAACAATCCCACCCTGTCCCTGAGAGCGTTGTCCAAACACTCCTTGAGCTCTGGCACCACTGCCCTGGGGAGCCTGTTCAGTGCCCAGCCACCCTCTGGGGGAAGAACCTGCTCCTAATATCCAACTTCAGGCACTCCCTAAACTCCTGAGAAAGCTAAAGAAAGGCAAACCCTAAAATATTCCTTCAGGCAGAAAAGTAACAGGAAGAAACGTGTTTACCTATGAAAGACTTTTAACTTTCCCACATCAATGGAACTTGGGTACTTTGCTGGCTTTTTACTCATCTCCTACTTGTAGTGTTTTTTCGCTGTGAGGTCTCTAAGACTGGAAACAGTGTTTATGTCAAGCATATAAAAGTTAATCAAGGCTTTCTCTTCTAAAGCCCATTACAGGGCTTTTTGTGCCATTACAGTAGTTGCTCAGGGGCTGTTTTACAGGCCCAGTTACAAGCTCACCCCTGACCCAAGGCAGTTTACATTCCAAACAGAGCAGCCAGATAAAAGGTAGGAGGGGAAGCAAAGGAAACAACCTCAGATATGTAAGATGTTGCTGCTCTCACCCTTGAGTACCTGTCTGTGTGCACCTGGTGCTCCACTTGCTTCTTCTTCCTCAGCCTCAGCACTGAGCAGGGATCTCCACTGACACCTTTCTGTTCCTCACTTCAAACCTAAAATCTCTTCTGCTTTAGCTGACGGCAGGAAACGAAAATCCCCTTTCTTTCTGCAGGTGAAAGTGAAATCAGAAGCCCTGGCAGTAAAGCTGTCTCAAGAAATCAACTATGCAAAGAGCCTTTACTACGAGCAGCAGCTGATGCTGAGACTCAGTGAAAATCAAGAACAACTCGAGCTGGACTCTTGAAAACCCACTTCCTCACTGCCAGAGTGACCTGCAAGCACCAGGCTGGAGCCAGAACTGAGAAGGAAAAAAATATAATTTTAGTATTTAGTGAAAACAGGAGAGGTGACTTTTCTTTTTCAAGCACTAGGTGTGTAACAGAGGTGTAGCTGACACAGCTTTGGGTCTGGGAGAAGCCCTGTATTTTGCTAACATGTATATATGTACAAGTGTCCATGTAAATACGAGCGGGCAGGCGGGTGTTGGTATAAATACAAGTCTGTTTACTGTGTAAAGAAATTAAAGGAGCTCTACTGAGTCATACTGCACTACCTGACACGAGCCCTCCTCTCTCTCTGTCTTTTTTTCCATTGAGAAAACTGCTGTTCAAAGTGCAGGAAAGTAGATAAACATTTAAAACATAAAATTAAGAGTTAATTTCAGCTATTGGAGCACAGGTGGCCTTGGTTTGGAGCTTTAACACTGTGAGAAGGGTGCATTGGTTGGGGTAGTTTAATGGGATTTTTGTTGGGTTTTTTTCTCCTAACTCACTAGTACAGGTGAGAGCACAGAGACCTGGTGTTCCACTGAAATGTCAGCCTCTTTTTTTAAACAGAAGTTGCATTTTGGTGAATATTACAGTGAGGACTAACTAATTCAGTTTTACATTCACAGTGTGCACCTCAAGGCTCCTTCTGACTTGTTTCTAGAACAGTTGAAGGGAGGAGCCTTGGAAATGGAATCTCTAAGTTCAGGTTTTCCCCTCTCTCAGATGCAGGGAGGGTTTGGAGCTGGGGGGAGTAGTGCCTGGAAGGGGGGTGGGGAAAGGAAATCACCAGCTTGTTTGACTTCACAACAACATCTTCAAAAGTAAAGTTTTAAAATAATAAAAATAACGTGTTTTTTCCCAACGTTGTACATCAAATCAATATTTGTCTCATTAACCATAACCACGCTGAAGATGAGGAATGAGTGTCCTTAAACCCACAGGAGCTGGAACCCTCAGTGTCACTCCCTGGAGGTGCCAGCTTTTGGTGTGAAGATACAACTTCCCTGTAATGCTGAGTAACCTAAATTTTAAGGTAAACCTTTAGTTATTCGGTAAACCTTTGAGCTGCAGCTTTAAAAGATTAACTTGAAAGTAAAGTCCTTTCATAAAGGCACATGGGAGTATTTTGGTACTGAAGGTTAGAATGAAACCAGTTGTGAACTCGTGTTAAATACCTGCCTGCTGGAGGTGGGGAAGGAAAACAAGGAGCAGTTCTGTGCCGTGCTGAGCATTTACAGGGATGGATACTTGGGGTCTGTAACCATTTTATGCAGAGATGATGTGCAAACAGCAGAGCAGTGGTTGAACAGTCACCCTTGGAGTGCCCTGAACTCAGGGAGCCACAGTGGACAATGGATCTCATTTGTAACCTGTTCCAAGTGTAACAAAGAGTAGGTGAAATAACAGCTCAGCAGGGGCAGGAAGGAAGAACTGTCTCTAAGTGGGAAAGAGGTGCCTCACACACAACATGGAAGTGACACGTGTGACGTGGGTGATGGCAGCTCCTCTCTTTATCTTCCTTTTCCGCTACTCCCCTTCCCTTTCCTGTCTTCCCCAGTCCTCTCCTCCCCTTTATTTTCCTGCCACATCCATTTCTTTCCCTTTCCTGTCCTCCCTTTCCCTGCCTTTTCCCATCCTTTCCTATCTTTCCTGCCCTTTGTTGTCCTTCCCTCCCTTTTCCTGTCCTCCCCTTTATTCCCCCTTCCTCCCCTTCCCTCTCCTCCTGTCCTCTCTCCCTGGCACACCGTGGTCAATCCCCTGCTCCTGCCAAGGTGTACAAATCCAGGGAAATGTCACCACTGTCACTGCTGGAACCTCCCCTGCCCCCTCCCCAGTGACAGACTGTGCAGTCAGGTCTGATTCCCCTGCCCAGAGATAACTTACCTGTGCACGTGCTGCCTCTCCAGGAAGGGAATGTCATCACTTCCTAAAGTCACAGGAGAAACCGGAAAAAAAGGAAACTCAGTAACTTTTAGACACTTTGCACAAGCCAGGGGTGAATTTCTCCGTGTCCCTCTGCATCTCACTGTGGGCTGTTCCCAGTGAAATACCCCTTCCATTGCCATCATTCCTGGATCATGGACAGTTCTGGTTCCAACAGGGCCTCATGGTGAGGTGTTCCTGCACGGAGATGAGCACAGGGCAAATGTGAACAACATCCTCCTCTGCTCCTGAACAGATTCCCAGTAAATCACTGTGATGATACATCCCAGCAGCTCCAGTCCCCAGGGCTGTTTTCCAGAGCAGTGCAGTGCTTACATTTTTGTGGGGAGAAGCTTAAGTGGCTAAATGGGCCACATCTCAAACCCAAGAAACAGTCATACATTTCCCAGTGACAAGGACCTTTGGATCTATTTGGGGTCTATTTGCTCATTCCTTGGACTTGCAGGATGCTTTAACATTTATCTATTTTCAGTAAAATACCTTAAGGTCTTAGCCCAACTATATATATATATTTTTTTTTTACTTCTTTTTCTCTCTAAAACACAATTTAGTACCAACCTGCTTCCTACAGTGCGGAGCCCACTCAGCTGACAACTCCTCCAGGCCCTTGCTCTGTTTTTTCTCCTCAGAGGAACCTGCCTCAATCTGCTGGTCACAATGATTCACCTGTGGTACTTGGCTCTGAAAAAGCAGGTTTCAGTGACACTCTTCAGCTTACGGGCTGCTGCACAGATATTTGGGGGGAAAAAAAAAAGCAAACTTAAAACACATAATTAAGTCAACAGTTGCTCAAAGTCCACTTACACAACTTCTAACAAAGAATAACAGTGCATGTCTATGCTTCTATACTACTTTTTTAATATATACACACACACCCCAAATATACATTTAAAGTTCTCTTGAAAAGCAAAGGCTGTATTCCAAACTCCTCTATTCCTAAAGGCAGAGTTGTTACAAAGAAGGAACTTCTTTTTCTGGAAAAAAAAAAAATAATAAAATAATGTGCCCAGAGCTTCAGATTCCATACTGCTGTAGCATTCCAGCTGACAGCACACTCTGACTCCACATTATGATCCTTAATTTTATCAAATGCAGGGCTGGGACAAACCACTTCCAGCTCCCCACTCCTGTTACTGGTTTGACTTTCTTGCAGCCCATTTCTTACAGCTACTGGTCTGACAGCTTTGAAAAAGGGCTCAGGGCAGCACAAACCCACCTGCCTGAGAAGATATTAAGAGGACATCAAGCAGTTTGACTGAACTAAAGACTTTTCATGGTTCTCCAGCAGCAGATTTTCAGGACTGGGAGAACATGAGGCAACCCCAGCAGCAGGTGGGCACTGGGACCAGCCCTGCATGTGCCTGACAGGCAGGAGAGGGCAGAATCCTACAAGGATTCCTGCCAGAAAGAAAAGGTTACTGATTAACCAGTGACAAACACTGGGGAAAAAAATAGTCTTTTTTTTTTTTTTTTTCTGGTGTTTTGCTCAGTAGAACCACAGCACATCCTGGGCCAGAAATACAAATATCAGGGAGCAAACTGCAGCTCCATGGGAGCAGCAGCTGCTTTGGGTCAGCTCTGCTCAGGGCCTGGGGACGCTTGTGCTGCCTCAGAGCATCAGGCTCCAGTGTCACACGGGGTCTGCTGGTTGTGGTTTGGGTTTATTTTTGTTTTATTCCCTGCATCTGACACTCCAGCGCCTGCCCCTGGGCCCAGCACAACGTGTTCTCCTGGTGGGTAAAAACAACCTTGTACCTCTGGCCTGCTCTGGGCTGACTCAAAAGCACTGAAAGGCCACGAGAGAAGTAAACAGCTTCCATGTGCATTTACATTTTGGATAAATGGCCGGGTCACCCAAAGGACAAGGGCTGCTACGGGAGCTGCAGAACAATGGTTTCTGAAAATGCCAGCAAAAAAAAAAAAAAAAAAAAAAAAAAAAAACCCCTGCACGCTGCAGCTGGAGAGGAATTGTAACAAATAAAAGAGAAATCCATCATACCAGCCATCCCTCAGCCCTCCAGACACCGCAAAAGCAAACATTTTCTCTGCCCTGGGAGGGTGACTCACCATTCCTGAGCTCTGCTGCTCCAAGGCCCTTGGCAAACAACCCACAACCAGCAGAACAAACCACCGGGTATCAAAATAATGATGTAGCAAAAAACATGTGTCTGCGTGGAGGCTTGGAGGGAAGAAAAAAAAATTTAAATAACTCTTTAAAATGACCCACCATTCACAGGCTCAGACTCTCCCCCAGCCTGCTCTTGGGAAGGTCAGACCCCTGACACAGCAGCTCCAGTACCAGGAGCACCACCAGGGATGTTCCCCCTCTGCCAAGGTGCAGTTCTAGGCCCTTCCATTCATCCTTTTTTTCAGGATTTATTTTAATCTCAAAGTATGGAGGAAACAGTATTGGAGATAAACATCCCAGAAACGTGAAATTCTATTCAGCACTACCTTCTGTGCCAGGACACATCTGTATTTGTGGTGTAACAGCACTTGCACTAAGAGGCTTCAAAGGATTATAGAGACAGCACAAACTCATTCCACTCTCTCAGTGGTCACTCTCTGATCTTGCAGCACAACACCAGTTACTACTTGTACATTTTGCTTCACTGACACTAATCCCAACTGCTCATCCTGCCCATAAAAAAAAAAAAAAATTTAAACCAAACCAGTATCCACCTGGAGAAACCCTCTGCTACTGATAAAACCTTGAGAGCAAAAATAAACAGCTGCCAAGGTCATAATCACACTGAGATCACAGCAGAGCTGACATTTATAAGCAGGTTTAAGAGGCAACTCCCCCACCTTGAGCTTCCCGATTTCAAACACTAAAAATCCACATTACACAAACAACTTCACTCACCTTCCTTTCTTTTCATAGATACCTTTCTGCCCTCTCCTTTGAGCACACACCAGAGGAATCAACGTGCACAAGAACATGTATTTGTGCACCACCCAGAACGCATCCCAGGCCACACAGGAACTCCCACAGCAGTGTCAGGTGCACTCAGAGTCTCAGAGACGAGCACCCATTGCCAAAGCAGAGCTCCCAGGCCTGTCTGAGCACCAGCCACCAGTGACAGGCACCTCAGCACTGCTGACATGCCTCAGCCTTAGCTCTACATTCCCCCCGGGATCATCCTGTTCCTGCAGGATCCATTTGCTGCAGGTTCCCATGGAATTCTGAAATAACCCCCACACTGCACAAGAATCCATGTTCACACCTTGCCCACTGTGCCAGTGCCTCACCACCCTCATTGTGAAGTATTTCTTCCTCATATCTGGTCTAAGACTACTCTCCCTTACTTAGAAACCATTGTGGCTTCTCCTACTGCAACAGGCCCTG